CTCTGGAAAGCTGAGGGCGACCCTCAGGGGTTGGGAGCGGTTATTCGAGGGATCCTCAGGGATCCCTAAAGAGCTGGGGAACCGTGAGAGGGGCTGGAGGAGCCCTGGAGGGGCTGAGAGGGGCGTGAGTGACCCTGTCAGGGGCTCTGTGGAGGAGGAAAATGGGGGTGAGTGTGGGAGGGGACACCCCTGAGAAATCCGGGCTGGGATTTGGGGTCTGTGGGCTGGGGGGTCCCCGGAGAGTCGGGGGTCCCAGGAGCTCTGGGTCCCTTGGAGCTGTGGGTCCCTGGATTTGGGGGTCCCAGGAGCTCTGGGTCCCTGGATTTGGGGGTCCCAGGAGCTCTGGGTCCCTTGGAGCCCTGTATTTGGGGTCCCTGCATTTGGGGTCCCTGGATTTGGGGTCCCTGGGCTGGTTCTGCTTTCCATCATCACTTGTTTTGCGTTTGTTTTCCTTGACGACTTCTGTGGGTTTTAGCCCCGTTTTTTGGCTGTGTTTCAGTGAGGTTTTCTTAATTCCCAACAAAAAAAAAGTTCTGTGCTGGTTGGCAGGTTTTGTGCAAATCTCTTTCCGAGCTGTGCTGAAAGCGGGGAGGGCCTGGAGCACAATGTTCCTTCCCTCAGCTTTGGTTCCTCAGGTTGGTCCCCAGAGTCCACAACTCCCCGTGCACAGGAAGCTGGGAGCTGGTGATCTCGAATTCTTGCCAAAAAAAAGCCCCAAATATGTGATTTTATCAATATTCGGGTTAAAGTGCTCTGAAAGGAGTTTGTGTCCAGATTAACCCAGCATCTGTGAAGTTGTAACGGAATTACGACGTGGTGGCTGAGATCAGAATTTGAGCTTGTTTGTGTTTTTTGGTTTCTTTTTTTTTAGTCTTAGCTCGTGTTTTGTGACTCCCGTTGTGGCTTGAGGGTTGTGGGACATGCTCAGGTTTATCCAGGAGTGTTTGATGGCACTGCTGAAAGATTATGGGTTTTTTTATGTTAACATTATAGGAAATTTTTGTGGCTTTTAATTGTGAGAAGACACATTGGGGTTTCGGAGAATCCAATGAAGGAGGAAGGAAGATACTTGTGGGTTTTAAACTTTATTTCCAAGCATTTGTGGAAGTGGAGTCTTCAGAGTTCCATAATATGAAATATTAATAATATTAATAATATGGTTTTTTGCATAATATGCAAGTTTCAAACAAATTCTCAAGGAAAAAAGAAAGAATTTTTAACATCTGTGTTTAATATTTGTAATCATGGTCAGAGTGACCAATATTCACTCAATCCTTTTATGCAGAGGGAAGGGAATACACAAACACTAAACATGGAGATTGTTAGGAAAATTAATTCTGAAGAATTCTCGCAAATAATGTGGGTCTTCTTTTCCTTGATGTTAAAAACCAGGCTTCAGGGCTCCCATGAATGCTGGGTGTTGCCCCAAAATAGCCAGAATGTCTTCATTTCAACCTCTTTGCAATGGAAGAAACATTCTTTTTAATGTTTTCCACATAATTTCTGTGTTTCTTCTTGGAGAGGGTTCCCATGGGGATGAAAGTGCTGAGCTGGCATTGCATGGGAAGCTCAAATGCACACAAAACCTATTTACTTTTAAAAATCAATTTAATGKACCCCAGACACAGAAATTGAGATGTTTTGTAAATAAAAAGCCATAAAAGCAGAAATATCAAAGCCTTACAGTTGTGAGTGAAATGCAAGGTTGTTTTAAGGCTGGTTTATCTGCTCCAAACTTTTTGGGGAGCTCACAAATGGATGAATTTAAAGCAAATCTTGTGAGATTTGAACTCCAAACATGAGCCTGGCAAATAAGCCCCTGCTAAAGCTTCTGCACCATTTAAAATATATCTAAAAGCTGCAGCAGCCCCTCTGGTAAATCACAGCTGGGAATATTTGCTGTTATTTTATTTTGGAGACTTTTTTTTCACTGTTGGGATGCCAGTGGTTGGAGCAGAGCCTTTCCCAGGAGAGCTGGGCTGGGAGCCCGGAGCATTGCGGGGGTTTGGGGTTTACATTTGGTTACAAACATTKCTCTGCTCTGCTTTTCTGGCCTTAATTAGACCCGACACATGGCTCAGGGAGGCAGGGATTGGTTCTGGGAAGGGCTGGGACAGAAACCTCCCTGAGACTCCTTGAACCACTTGGCTGGACACCCCCAGGAGCAGTGGCTCCACCACTCCACCAGTGCTCTTTCCAGGAAGGAATATTCCCAAATCCCATCCTAAACCTCCCCTGCTACAATTTGAGGCTGTTCCCTCTCATCCTGTTGTTCCCTGGAGAAGAGCCTGACCCCCACCTGGCTCCAGCCTCTTTCCAGGGAGTTGTAAGGAGTGAGGAACTCCACCAAATGCTCCAGGGATTCCCACTCACCTCAGTGTAACTGTGCTTGTGTTTGGATTGTGGAGAAAACGGCGTTTGGGAGGAATCTTTATGTTTCTGTGCACATCCTGTAGGTTCCAAAGGGTGAAAATGCCCAACCTGGTCCCGTGCCCGTGTTGTCCCTGGTTTGGGGATTGTGGAGCAGAGACACCGTGACCACTCCAGTGTTCTCTGCCAGACCTCGGGGTCTTTCCTGTGCTTTGGCTTGTGCCACGAGAGGGAATTGTTTCCCAGTGAGAAGTGAAGCCTGCTGTGGAGCAGGTTCCTCATGGGATGCTGATCTCTGTGTTTGGCTCCTTGGAAATACCAAAAGCTTTAAAAGCAGCAGCAATTCCGTGTCTGCCCCTCAGCCCCAGGCTGGAGAACAGCATGGTGTCACTTCCTTCCCCTGCCCAGAGCGGAAATTCCTTCCCCTCCATAAAGGGATTATCCACTGTGCTCCAGAGACTCCATTTCTGTTCCCACCGTGTTCAGATGTGGCTGGGGAAAAGGAGGAACCCTCCTGACCTGTCTCATTCCCACTTCAAACTGCATTTTCTTTAACAGAATTCTTGGGTGTCAGCTTGGGACTTCACTTCTGAATAAGGGATGGGGCACAGCAGCATCCAAGTGCTCCAAAATCGAGCAGAAAGGAGATAGGGAAGGGTTTCCAGCTCTGGTTTTTTGTTCTCCAGTTGTATTTATAAATTCGAGAGGATCCTGGTGTTTTGTTGCTGGAGCTGGTGTGGGATGGGATGGGCTGTGCTCACTCCTGCTGTTGGTTGGGATTTTTGCAGTTGGCTCCTTCAGCTGCCAAGCCTTGAGCTGGATGTTTATTCCATACTGTAGTCACCCCTGGGAAATGCTATGGATTGGCAAGGCAAAAGCTTCCTCAGCAACACAAACTGCTTGGAGGAAAACAAACCCGGCAGGCAGAGAGCCTGGGAATGTTCATGTGGTAAAATACGTTTAATTTTGGAAGAAATAGCAGAAATTTGGGAGTGTTTGCTGCAAGGTCCACACACACCACAGAGGTGATTGTACAGCTCCACTTTTAGCTGTAAATAAACCATCATCCAGCTCTGGAAGTTAAACTATTCTTGGACTGAAATCTGGTTTTGGGGAGTGGAGAAAGTGGAATGCTGGAATCACAGCRTGGTTTGGAGTGGAAGGAGCTGTAGAGATCAGTTGGGCCCTGGCTGGGACACCTCCCATTGATCCAGGCTGCTGCAAGCACTTGTGGAAGAGCACAGGCAGCCCAGTAACGGTGCCACTGGTGCCCACTGGTCTGTACTGGTGAAGAGCAGAAGTGATCAGCTCAACAGTCATGGGTTTGAGATGCTTGACAAGCGCTTTGGTTCGTTCTTTGTCTCAGATTGGGAAATGAACCCTCCTCAAGTTGGGAAGCTCGCAGTTCTGCTCCTCCTCCCTCCTTCATCTGCAGCCTCAGCCCCTTCCCTGCTCCCAGCAGGCTCCTCCTCTCCTCTCTCCAGAGAAGAGAGCACATCTTTTAATTTGGCAGCCGAGCACATCTTTTAATTTGGCAGCCGAGAGAGCAGCGTGTGCTCCACGCTGGGAACGGCCCCTCCGTGCAGTGCAGCAGAGGAACGGCCACAAACACACCCTGGCCCAGTTCAGCCCCAGCAGATGCTGACACACAACTGCTTCTGGTGGAGAATATTCCTCTGAACCAGAGGCAGTTCATACTGCTTGATTTCCCTGGTTTTTCTGCTCCTCTTTAGAGATGGCATCGGACGTTTCCTCGCTGGGTGCAGCTGTGGGCTCGGGGACCCCTGGAGCAGGAGCCCAGCAAGGAGGAGCAGTGGCCCAGAGGCCCAGCAAGAGACGGCCCGGGTGAGTGTGTGTGAGCTGGGCTTGTGCTCTTTGGGGAGGCTGTGGAAAAACGGCATTTTGAGGAAGTGTTGTTCTCCAGAAAGAGCTGTCAGCCTCACACSGGTAACTGTGGCTGTTCTAGGAAGTTTCCTGTTCCTTCAGGTGGGCTCTGTCCAGTGCTTTCCCTTTGTAGTGGTGTCTTTGAGCCAGCTAAACTGCTTAAAGAGGGGGTTAGGTGACATCTAAAGGGGATTAAAAGCTTTGCACCTCATTGGAGGAGCAAATGCACACCAAGGATTGACTGAGACACGAGCTGCTGCAAGAGAGAATCTGGATTTGGGACCTTCAGCCTTTGCAGCTGTGCTGTCCCTGGGAGGGGTGGGGGAGAGCCACAATGTGCTTGTGGGAGACTTTTTGTTCACTGAAAATGTCTTTGCAAATTCAGAGGGAGTTGAGTGGCTGTCCCTGGATTTCTGGCACAAGAAATGGCCTCATAATTTTTAAACTGAAGTCTGCCCCTGTGCCCCTCCCAGTAACTCAAACTCTTTTCTTCAGCCCCATTTGATGCTCCCAGTCCCCTGCAGCTCCTCCCACCCTCCCTGCTCCGCTGCATTCACAGTTTTCCATCCCAAAAGGAAAGTGGAAAAGTCCTTCCTCTGTCCTCCCACGTGAACTTGTCAGAAATGAGGTTTTGTCCCTGTGTGGGTTTTCTTCCTTTGGAACTGTTTTTCCTTGCTCTGTTCCTGATAGACACCTGAAAGAAGCCAAAGTTTGTGTTAGTTGTGTTTGGATTATTTAATTTTTCCTTTCAGGCATCATCTGCAGCCATAGGGACAGACAGAAAAATAATTTAAAGAATAAATCTCTTGGTTAGTAATTATCTCTTTTTTTCCATTTTGCAGGCTTGATTTTGATGATGATGGAGARGGGAACAGTAAATTCCTCAGGTGAGAGAATATCCAGAAGTTTCTGTCCTCTGGCCTAGGTGTGTCTGTGTGTTTTCCCTGGAGCAGGATCTTTCTGCTCCTGTGGCTTTTCCTCTCTGGAAGTGGGGGGAATTGCTCCACTTCCTTAAGCTTTTCCCTTTCTCCCAGTCAGCAATATTCCTCCAGCTCTGGCTTTTGTTACTGCCTCAGGCACTGGTAATTAATCCTCATCTGTTGTAAGGATGCTTCAGTTGCAGAGACGCTGCAGGGATCTCCTCATGATCCATATGGAGCACAGAAGAGTTGCAATATCTTGGGCCATTTTTTTGTAGCCTCAGTGCACGGTATAGGATTGGATAACTCAAATGATGCTGCATTTCCCTGCATTCCAGCCCTGTAAAGATGGCTGTGCAATGGTTTCAGAGTGATTCATGTAGAGGATGAAGCTCCTGATTTGGGCTAAAAATCTTCCAAGTGCAACTTAATCTATTTCTTGCTATGGGATTAAATTGAGTGTGATGTGGAAAACCCTGTGCAGGTGATACCAATAATTCAACCACTCCAACACAGTGTTTGCAGTAGAACAATTGTCCTGCAGCTGCCCACTCACAACCACACCAGGCATTTTTTTGTGGGAGTTATTAAACCTTGTTTTCTCTGTGGTTTTTTTTTGGGAAAGAAGGAAGTGTAAACACTTTAACCTCTCCCCCTTTTCCTAGATGTGATGATGACCCGATGCCAAATGATAAAGAGAGATTTGCCAGGTAAGAATTTGCKGATTTAAAATATTTTCGTGCCAAAAAACCTTAATGTGAGAGGGATTATGCAGCGCCCTTCTCACGAACAGTTAGATGGTCTCTCTKTGAAGGTGCTTCAAGGGATCCACACATATTCCTTGATGGTTTTTGGACCAGTTCATTGAGTGCAATGCTGACATTCCTCTTTTTCACCCTTCCTTCCAGCTCTGACCTCGGACTCTCAATCTTTTCTCCTTCTCAAGAAACTTGCAGAGATAAAAATTTCCTGCTTAGTCCAAGTTTTCCTCAAACAGGGTTTCCTGGCTGTGATTTGTGTGTTTGGTGGGGAATTGCACAGAAGCTTTACAAATTGGGGTTTCCTGGAGATTATAGGGGATCCTCTGATCACTTTTGGTGTCTGAGTGTTGGGACTGAGCCCATGGTATCTTTACAGCTTTTTGAACCTCCGTTCCCTTCTCTGGACGTGCTCCAGCTCCTCAAAGTCCCTGTCATTCTGAGGGGCCCAAAATTACCCCCAGGATTTGGGGTCACTGTCCTGCTGTTACCTGCCAACGGTTACAGGGGGTTCCAAGCAGGGATCTCCAGCTTTTAATGTGGTTTGAATCATTCTGAAGTCAAGCAAATCAGAAATACCAGAGTGCTTCTATTATTAGAAATAAGCAAATTAGARCTAGGTCACAGTCTCAGAAAATGTCTTAAAACTCCAACACATCAGGCACCAATTTAATGTGGAATGTTGCAAACTAATGATTGTTTTATTTTACGGAATTGCTCCTCCACAAAACAGACCTGTCCCTAGGCTGGGTTTCCTAGTCCATCTTTCCATTTTTTTTTCCATTTCTTTCAACTTTTTTTCATTTTTAGCTTAGCTGGCTAATTTTATTTTTAGGTCTGATGATGAGCAGAGTTCAGCGGATAAGGAGAGACTTGCCAGGTAGGAGAATGGAGATTTCAAGCATGGACAAGCAGAGTTTTTCCTTTCCTTCTCTTTTTTTTTTCCCCCCTCTCCTTCCCTCATCTGCTACAGAGGACTTAACAGACTCCTGGAAATTGCTGTGGAAATGGAATTAGGAGGGGAAAGGCATTGAGGAAAAGCACACCTCATGTTTTTAGGGAGTACATGGAAGGATTTATTTGTCAAAGGCCACAGGGTTGAGCTGCTGCTTTCACTGTAGCTTTTCTAAGTGGTGCTACAGACAGTGCCTCTTGTGCTGTCCCTCTGGGAAGGTTTTGTGTCCCAGGAATGCTGCCAAACTCTCAGCAGGAAAAGGTGTGTTAGCTCAGGTGTTYTCCTTCCAGGAAAGGTGGTGTCACTGGAAACAGGATTTAATTTTTCCCCCGAGTTTCTGTTCGTAATTAGAGACTGTGCCTGAAACCACCAGAACAGTCACCTGGAATTCTGCACCAGGAATCCAGGAATGGAACCTGTGTCCACATGCAGTGATTTGTCACCTGTGCACACCTGCAGCAGCCTTAACACCCGTGCATGCCTGCCCYGTGTTCTCTGCCTTGCAGACTTCACCAGATTTTGGGCAGTTTTGTCTTTAAACCAGACCCCCAGAGTGGCTTTGCTGACTGCACTGAGCTTTGCTTCAATCTTTGAGGAGATGATGAGGAATCACAGAGCTGAGGCCTGGGAGTACAGAGAACAGCAAAGCCTTCCAGGGGTTTGTTCCCTGTGGTAAAAATGTTTCAGAGAACCACGGAGTGGGTTGGAAGTGACCTTAGAGCTCCTCTCATTCACTGCAGGGACACCTTCCCCTATCCCAGGCTGCTCCAAGCCCCATCCAACCTTGGACACTCCCAGGGATGGGGCAGCCACAGCTCCTCTGGGCACCCTCACAGGGAACAATTCCTTCCCAAAATCCCATCTAACCCTCCCCTTGCTCAGTGGAAAGCCATTCCCCCTTTATTGTGTCCCTCCAGGCTCCTGTCCAAAGTCCCTCTCMGGTCTGTTGGAGCTCCTTTAGGCACTGGAAGGTCTCCTTGGAGCCTTCTTGTCTCCAGGATGGACAGTTCCTCCATCCTTTCCTCATGGCAGAGTGACAGTGGGACAAGTTAAATGTCTGGTGGTTCCCCAGTAGCTTTTGTAGTTGAAGGAGCTTTGTTTTCACACCTGAGTTTAAGATTTAGAGAAGCTGCCTGACTCAAAGGTGAGGTCACTGAATGCCTGCACACACCTGGTAGTGATAAATGCTCCATTTTTGGATTTTCCCTGTTTATTCACCTGCCTGTCCTTGCTCCTTCCAGCACTTCCATCTCATTTCACTTCCCACCATGTGCTTCCTTGCACCTGATCCATCCTTCTGTATAGGAAACCTGGCTTTGAAGCTCTGTTTTGGAAAACCYGCCTTAGGAACCCACTAAATTACGTATCCTGGTTTAAAAGAACCAAGTTCTGGTCTGTGGGACTGATGGGGACTGAGCCAAAGGGGTGTCCAGAGCCTTTTTGGGGCTGATGCCACCACCCAGTGTTGCCTGTCCTGGTCTGCCCAGGCTGGCCTTGATCATCTGTACAGAAATGAGGTGAACCTCTGACATTTCCCCTGCTGGGATACTGAAAGAGCTCTTGATGTCACTGAGCAGTGGCTTCACAAAGCAAGGTGAGACCCAGCTAACTGAGGTCCCTCAGAGTCCTGGATTGGCTGGGGATGGAAGGAGCCTCAGAGCTCATCCTGTCCCACAGCTCCCACTAGGCCAGGCTGCCCAGAAGAGCAGGTGGCCAGGTTTTAGCAGCAGCCCTGCTCTCCTGTTGTGGGGGATCTCATTCCCCTCAGATGGATGGTGCTGAGCTCACCTGCAGTGAGGTGAGAGGAGCAGTTCTTTGGCTTTCTGCAGAGTGTGTAGTGATGGGGAAGGWTAGCCCAGCTCCTGCTGTGAATTCACAAAGGTGCAGGTGTTGTTGCCTCTCCTCCCTGGCCTGTCCCCACGTTCCCTGTGCACGCCCAGCATGTGAGCCTTGACTCCTCTAATCCTGACRGCCCCGATGCATCTCTGTGTGTCAGCACCGACGTGGGGACGTGTCTGAGCCCTGCACCCCCGGTAACTTCACCTCCTCCTCTTCTCCYCCTGGACCTTGGCAGGGAGAACCACAGCGAGATCGAGCGCAGGAGGAGGAACAAGATGACAGCCTACATCACRGAGCTGTCRGACATGGTGCCCACGTGCAGCGCCCTGGCCCGCAAGCCCGACAAGCTGACCATCCTGCGCATGGCCGTGTCGCACATGAAATCCCTGCGTGGCACCGGCAACACCTCCACGGATGGCACCTACAAACCCTCCTTTCTCACCGACCAGGTCTGGCCTTGGCACGGGATCAGGGACTGCTTTGGCTTGGAAGGGACCTTAAAGCTCATTTTTTTTTTCACCTTCCACTGGCCCAGGTTGCTCCAAGCCCYGTCCAGCCCAGCTTTGAGCACTTCCAGGGAGGAGGCAGCTATAACTTCTCTGTGCAGCCTGTGCAGTGGCCTCACCACCCTCACAGGGAACAAATTTCTTCCCTATATCCAACTTAAATTTTGGCTCTTGCAGTATGAAGCCATTACCCCTCACCACCCTCACAGGGAACAAATTTCTTCCCTATATCCAACTTAAATTTTTGCTCTTTCAGTATGAAGCCATTACCCCTTGTTCTGTCACTTCCTGCCCATATGAAAAGTCCTTCTCTCTCTCTTTATTAAGCCATCAAAGATCCTGGAAGGCCACAGTGAGGAATCCCTGAAGCCTTCTGCTCTTCTGCTTTGTGGGAAATGCAGCAATCAGAGGGGGAAATCAAATGATGGGTGGGGGGAAATAACCTAAACAAAATAGGATGTGTTTTGACCGTGGAGCTGAGAGGTGTCTGTGTCTGCAGGAGCTCAAACACCTGATCCTGGAGGCAGCTGATGGCTTCCTGTTCATCGTGTCGTGCGAGACGGGCCGCGTGGTGTACGTGTCGGACTCGGTGACGCCGGTGCTGAACCAGCCGCAGTCCGAGTGGTTCGGCAGCACTCTGTACGAGCAGGTGCACCCCGAYGATGTGGGCAAGCTGAGGGAGCAGCTCTCCACCTCCGAGAACGCCCTGACAGGTACAGCATCCTGGGGAGGGATGGGAGGGGCTGGCAGGTGGGACAGCCTGCAGAGGATTTGGATTGAACCCTTCCCTTTGTAGAGGGAACCAAACCCTGGTGCCTTTCTACCAAGGATGCTGCAGCCCCCCCCGAGAATGCATCTAAAGGTACCACCGGTGACACTCGTGTCCTGCCAGTTCCCAGTTCATTACCTGGTGCCACACCTGTGTTGCTGAAAGGACTCCCAGTGCAGCAGCATCTCCTTTTGCTTTCTTTGTTTTTAGGTCGTATTCTTGATTTGAAGACGGGCACTGTGAAGAAGGAAGGGCAGCAGTCCATGAGGATGTGCATGGGCTCCCGGCGATCTTTCATCTGCCGAATGAGGTAGGAGTTCCCTGGGGAAATACCAGCCTGAAGCTGCACTTGCTCCCTGGCCTCTCCATGCTTTTATTTCAGCTTTTTTGGGGCTCATTTTGATGTAGACATGATAGAACATGGCTGAGCTTTCTCTACAGTCAAATTCATTTGTTTGCCTTGTTGTAGAAGATCCATTTTAAAGTAACAATTAGTTTTAGCCCCAAGTGTCACCTCCCTTGAGTTCTGCAGAATGAGGGCTTTTTGTGTTGGAAATTCCTCTTGGTCAAGATACTCAGATTATTTTCATGTTGATCAAAAAAGACCAAATCCTTGCTAACCCTGGTACAGGTGTGGCAACAGCTCTGTGGATCCAGTCGCTGTCAATCGTCTCAGCTTCATGAGGAATCGCTGCAGGTAAAGGACACATAAATAGTGTATATACACATGACATACAAATAATACAGCTAAACACCTTCTCCCAGTTCAACCTTCAGCACAACCTGTTTCTCTCTCCCAAGGAATGGTTTAGGTGCAGCCAAGGATGGAGAACCTCACTACGTTGTCGTGCACTGCACAGGCTACATCAAAGCCTGGCCCCCAGCAGGTAACAATTCACCTTGTGTTCAGCTGGGCTGGGTTTAAGAGGGCATGGTCTAAAATTGCCATTCCAGGAGCTGAATGTGGCAGGAAGTGCTTTACAAATGTACCTGTGACTTATTTTAAGATTGGTGTGATTTTTGCAGGTGCAGTGGCAAAGATCTCTGTCTGTAGAGGATGAAAAGAATATTGAACTGTCTGATGTGCAGCTTGTTCTGAAATTCAGAGATTTTCAATCCTTGTCATGAAAAAAGGGACGGGGAGGCCCCTTAATTTACCAACTCCCTTCATGGGGAAGGCTGTCTAGTTACAAACCAGGGCAAAGAGATATCTTGAAGTCCATTCCTCTGAAATGAGCYGTTTTTCCTGTACTAACCTTTCTGGAATTTTTGGTCTTCCCCTTTCAGGTGTTTCCCTGCCTGATGATGACCCTGATGCTGGCCAGGGCAGCAAGTTCTGCCTCGTGGCCATTGGCAGGCTCCAGGTGAGTGTCCTGTTCCCCTTTTCCAACACTGCCTTGTTCTGGGAGTCCCAGATTTAAACTGTTCTGTCTGAAAACATTCCTGGATGGCCCCAAATCCCCGTGCAGGGCTGGTGTCTGAGGGATGGCAGGTTTGGTGACTGTGCCCCTGTTCCCTGGCAGGTGACCAGCTCTCCCAACTGCACAGACATGAACAATGTGTGCCAGCCAACAGAATTCATCTCCCGACACAACACCGAAGGCATTTTCACCTTCATCGACCACCGGTGCGTGGCCACCGTTGGCTACCAGCCCCAGGTGAGGGCCTGCAGGAGCTTTGGGAGAAGAAAATGCTCTTTAAACRTCCTTTCCTTACCTTTCCTTCTACATCACGGCTCTGCTTGTCCAACAGAGCTGATAAACCATGCCCAGGGCTTAACCCTGACAYGTGTTTCTTCTCCACTGGTGGCTTTTCCATGTGTTTTTCCAAGTCCTTTGATCATGGGAAGGCTGGGTGGCTCTGGGTTATGTCAAATGTCAATTAAAGCMRTTTTTACCTCAAATTGAGTTAAAGATCAAACATTAATCAACAGCTGTTGTGCTTCTCTTTTGAAAAACAGCACACCAGCTCCAGAGCTTGGGTTGTGTAACAGGGATTTGGGGGGAAAGGAGCAGGAACTACCTGTCCAAAGAGGAATTAATTATGGAATCTGCCTGCCAGATGAACTGACTCAATCTCTCTCACAATTTCTTGAAAAATAGGAACTTTTGGGGAAAGACATTGTGGATTTCTGCCATCCAGAAGATCAACAGCTTTTACGGGACAGCTTTCAACAGGTGAAAACGCTGTGGTTGCCCTTTGCATGCAGGGTGGAATTCAGATTGGAGTTCATTCCAAGATTGGAGTGCCTTGGTAATTGCAAAGCAATGAAATGACTGGAAAACCCAGAGGAAAAACAAAGCTTAGATAATTCTCCTGTGCACACAGTTGCAGATTTAGCGATATCATTAAATGCAAAATGARACAGAAGCATCTGATGTCTTAACTCCTGAATCCAGTCTTAACTCCAGCTCTGGCTACTGGTGCAGTCGGCTTTTAGGGCCAGGGATGTGGCTCCCAAGTGCCTGCTTGACTTGGCTGAAACCCTGGTTCATCTCTAGGGCCCAGCCCAGTGCTGCAGAACCCGCAGTGGAGGTGGTTTTCTTGCCCTGTTGTCGTTACTGTTATTTCTGAGGGCCTTGGACTGGTGGCAGGGCAGGTAAGGCTGCCCCTGTGCTTTCATGACTCCAAAAACCAGCTGCTCATATCCATTGCTCCAAACCGTTGGAATGGGAAGCGACAGCATGTGTTTCATTTCTTGGAGGCTTTTTCATACATCTCACCAGTGCAAAGAGATAAGAGAAGTGAAGCCAAAAAGGGGATTTTTAGATTCCCCTCTTGTATCCTTTAGGAATCAAGCTATCCTAAGGGAATAGTGCCATTTAGTTTGGGAAGACTGAGATGTGGTGGTCCAGGTTTGAGGCAAAGGGCCATCACAGGGGTCTGGGGGTGGAACTCCTGCTCAGGCTGACCTCCCCCACCTTTGGTCAGGTGCTACTGACGGAATTCTGGTTTTTTTAGGTGGTGAAGTTAAAAGGCCAGGTTCTGTCAGTCATGTTCCGCTTCCGATCCAAAAACCGGGAATGGCTGTGGATGAGAACCAGCTCGTTCACCTTCCAGAACCCCTACTCGGATGAGATCGAGTACATCATCTGCACCAACACCAACGTCAAGTAYGTACCTGGGAGAGGGCTCCTGGTCCACAATAACCCTGAGCATCCTATTCCATTTCCMCCTTTCAGGGAGACCAAGTGGAAAGATCCTTCACTCAMATGGGGTTTGCATTTTGTCCCAGAYAGCCACCCCCTGCTGCACACAGGACCCATCTCTGCTTCCAGTTGGGACTTTTTAATTCTCTTTTTTTTGTGTTTTCTTCGAAGGAACTCGAGCCAGGAGTCCMGGCCTGCCCTGACAAACTCCATGCCAAGGCCTCAGCTGGGGCAGAACGTCAGCCTTCCCCTGGACATGGGCACAGCCCCACTGCCCTCCAGGTCAGGAGGAGCTCAGCTCCTTTCCCCATTTCCACCTTCCCTTCACACCCTTCAGCCCCAAATTCCCCTCTCTGCAGCCAGGAATCCCTGGAGTAACCACCCCGAGCCGTTCCCTTGGGAATTATCTTTAGCAGCCTGTGTTCTCCTGTTACAGACACTTTCTATTTTAGGCAGCAGCAGCCAGCCCAGGCAGAGCTGGAGGTGGGCCCAGGAAGGGAGAGCTTGGCTGGGTATGAGCACTCACAGGTGAGTCCTGAGGCATTTGGGTGCTCCCTGTTTAAGTCACCTTTTTGCTGGGGCTTTAAAAGTGGTGGCACCAGGTTGAGGTGGGGTTGTTTCTTCCTTGGGTGCTGCTTGATTCCAGTATTTATCATGTGGAATCACAGAATCAGGATTTGGCTTGGAAGGAATCTTAAAACGCATCCAGCCATGGGCAGGGACACCTTCCCCAGACAAGGTTACTCCAAACTGTGTCCAGCCTGGCCTTGGACACTTCCAGGGTGTGACTGGGCATCCTGAATGGCCCCACTATCTCCAAAAAGCACACCAGGATCCCTTGGACACTTCCAGGGTGTGACTGGGCATCCTGAATGGCCCCACTATCTCCAAAAAGCACACCAGGACCCCTTGGACACTTCCAGGGTGTGACTGGGCATCCTGAATGGCCCCACTATCCCCAGAAAGCACACCAGGATCCCGGGAGTAGCCGGGCTCTCAGCTGCTCTCCAAGCTCACCCGCTCTGTGCCAAGGTGTGAGCAGCTCCGAGGGGTGAGCAGCTCCGAGGGGTGAGCAGCTCCGAGGGTGAGCAGCTCCCAGGGGTGAGCAGCTCCGAGGGGTGAGCAGCTCCGAGGGGTGAGCAGCTCCCAGGGGTGAGCAGCTCTCAGGGGTGAGCAGCTCCCAGGGGTGAGCAGCTCCGAGGTGTGGGCAGCTCCGAGGTGTGGGCAGCTCCGAGGTGTGAGCAGCTCCGAGGAGGGAGCAGCTCCGAGGGGTGAGCAGCTCCAAGATGTGAGCAGCTCCGAGGGGTGAGCAGCTCCGAGGGGTGAGCAGCTCCGAGGGGTGAGCAGCTCCAAGATGTGAGCAGCTCCGAGGGGTGAGCAGCTCTGAGGGGTGAGCAGCTCCGAGGGGTGAGCAGCTCCAAGATGTGAGCAGCTCCGAGGTGTGAGCAGCTCCCAGGGGTGAGCAGCTCCGAGGGGTGAGCAGCTCCCAGGGGTGAGCAGCTCCGAGGTGTGAGCAGCTCCCAGGGGTGAGCGGCTCCGAGGGGTGAGCGGCTCCGAGGGGTGAGCAGCTCCGAGGGGTGAGCAGCTCCGAGGGGTGAGCGGCTCCGAGGGGTGAGCGGCTCCGAGGGGTGAGCGGCTCCGAGGGGTGAGCAGCTCCGAGGGGTGAGCGGCTCCGAGGGGTGAGCAGCTCCGAGGGGTGAGCGGCTCCAAGGTTTGAGCAGCTCCGAGGTGTGGGCAGCTCCAAGGGGTGAGCAGCTCCGAGGGGTGAGCGGCTCCGAGAGGTGACCAGCTCCGAGGTGTGACCAGCTCCAAGGGGTGAGCAGCTCTGTCCTGTCCCCTCCCAGGTGCCCGTCCAGCCTGTGAGTGCTGCTGGCCCCGAGCACAGCAAACCCCTGGAGAAGGCTGAGAGCCTGTTCAGCCAGGAGCGGGACCCGCGCTTCGGGGAGATCTTCCCTGGCATCAGCACAGGTGGGTCAGCAGGACAGGGCTGCTCCTCCTGCCTGCCCTGCTCACATCCCTCCTGCTTGTCCCTGACCTTCGTGTGAGTTTATTAGAAAATGGAGAGGAAATCAAATTAAACAGGATTTAACAAARTCATCTGGAGTCTGTGCCTGGAGAAGGAGCGAAGGAGTCTTTCTTCACACAGACACATCTGTTCCAATTGCTTCTCTCTCCCTGTCCYTGAGATGTCCCAGCCCAAAAATGACTCGTGCTCTCTCCTCAGACCAGAGCAAAGCCATCCCTGTCAGCACCGTGCCGGCCAACCCACCCCTCTTCACCCAGGGAAACACCTTCACTGCTGCCCGGCCCACTGAGAACTTCAGGTGAGGCTTCACCTGCCCAGCTCCAGCTCCTGTTCCCTCTGCTGTGCCTTGGACATGCCCAGGAGCTGGGTGCCCACAGCTCCAGCAGTTCCTCTCAGTATGGAATCATGGAATCATGAGTTGGAAAGGCCCTCTAAGGTCATCTAATCTGACTGTTAATGTGTGTTCACCACTCACCCCTGTCCCCAGACGCCACATCCGCACGTTCCAGGATGACCACTCCACCCACCCCAATGTTGGGCTCATTTCCCTTCACCARTAACTCGAGCAGATGGGTTTGGTGGGTGCTGTTCCATGGCCTCAGGCTGCTCTTCTCTTGCAGGAGCAGCAGCATGGTGCCTCCAGTGAACATCATCCAGCAGCAGCCCTCTCCCGCTGGCCGGATCTTGTCGCAGATCTCCCGGCACTCCAGCCCAGCTCAGGTCAGCGGGAGCAGCTGGGCTCCAGGGACACGGCCGGTGTTCACASCCCAGGTAGCACAGCCCAAACCCTCAGCTGCAGGCCCCGGCTCCCCACTGCCTCCAGAGCCTGCTCTCCACGGGGAATCACTCTGCTTCTGCTCTCCGGTGCTGCGTCTCCGTGTGCTTCCTCCTCGGGGCTCCTCCCTGAGCTGAGGCTCGGGGTGAACCCATCCCTCCTCTTCCTCTCCCGTTTTTCCTCTCTTACAGCAAGTGGCATCGCAGACGGTGAAGACCCGAGCTCCTTCCTTCGGCATGGGGACATTCCAGGGCACCCCATCGTCCTTCAGCTCCATGGCAGCGCCGGGATCGACGGCGTCCCCCACCACGGCCCCGTACCCGGCCCTGGGCAGCCGTGGCACAGGATTCAGTGAGTGTGCCTTGGAGCAACAAAACCCCTGAGAAGGGAGCTGGGAGTGTCCAGCTGGGGTGGGATGTGCTCTCCATTGCTTYCTGTGCAATGTTGGGGGCCAGAGTTGAATCCCTGCTTTGACACTGATGATCTTCAATTATCCTCCAAGCACAGAGGTGGACTTGGTGATCCTTGTGGATCCCTTCCAGCTCAGGRTAATCTGGAATCATTCCAGCAGATGAATTTKGAGCCATTTTAAGGCTGAACAAAGGGAGTCCCTTTGTTCTACCCCGTGGCAAACACCTGAGTTCCTGTGGCAGGAATTCTGGAGGGCAGCCCATACACTGAGCACTGCCCTTCCCAATCCCACTGGAGCACTGGAGAATCCCCAGGGAGGGCTGTTTGATTCACTCTCTGTGTTCTGTGTCCAGCAGCCGCCGAGGCAGCGCAGACCCCGGCCCCGTTCCAGCCCCGCGCCGCTGACGCCGTGGGAATGTGGCCACAGTGGCAGGGACAGCACCACGGCCCCGGATCCGGGGAGCAGCACGTGCAGCAGCCCCAGCCCAGCCAGCCTGAGGTCTTCCCAGTAAGATGGGCCTTTTTTAAACCTCCCACTCCATGGGGATCCACTCAGATCTCGCCCCTCTGGTTCAAATCAAATGGGGAGTCACAGATAAGCTGATGGAGCTGGAAGTGGAGAGGGCAGGACTGGCTTTGTGTCTTGATCTGTTGCAGGATCAGTGTGAAATTCCAGGGATTAACCCTTCTAGTTCCAATTAATTTTTAAAAAAGCCACAGTCCAATGAAATTAAGATAATTSCTGAGAATTCATAATCATCTCACCCAGTTTTCCCAGCAGTTACTCATTATGGCTTAAATTTGCCTTGGACACAGACCCTGTGTTCCCTGGGAAGGGGACCAGTTTGGTCCACAGTATCTGTTCCAGCAAACCCGTGGCTAAATTGCCCATGTGATCATGAAATAATGGAATAGTTGAGGTTGGAAAAGCCTCTGAGATCGAGTCCAACTGTTCCTCTAATTTTCAATCCAAACTCCTTGGCACAACTTGAGGCTGTTGGATACATGATATTTGTGTCTGGATCCTAACTCTGTCCTCTCCTCACAGGACATGCTGACCATGCTGGGGGACCAAGGGCCCAACTACAACAATGAAGAATTCCCAGAGTTGAATATATTCCCTTCTTTTTCCGAATAAAACAAGCATTAGGGGAAACAACATAAATCTCTACAATATCCACGTGTCAAGGARAACAGCCGAGTCTTTTTCTCAAGGAACTGTCCAAACACTTCCCACCTTCTGGAAGCGGCGCTCCGACGAGGGATGGCTGTGGGAGAGGAGSTGGTTTGGACACCTCCTCCCTGTGGGATTGTTCTGGAAGCTTCAGGACTYGAGTGCCACGAGGCCAAAGGCCCCGTGTTCCCAGAGCCACTGCCAAGTGGATTTCTGTGGGAGGGATTCCTGTCTGGATCACAGACAGCCCTTCCAAACTTTTTAAGGTGGCTTTGACTGTTTTTATTTTCATTCTCTGCCGTGACTTTTTCTATAAAACACAAACTGTTGGAATTTTTAAATATTGGAAGAAGCTCTTCCAAGTGTTATCCCTGTAAACACAATCCTGGAGGATGCTTGAGTAAGAATCCATGTCCTGAGCCGGTGTTTTCCTCTTTTTTGGAGGAATGTTGGCTGTTTTTGGAGGGTTGTTACCGCATCTCCAGTCCAGGGTGCTCCATGTGGAGATTCCCGTSTTTGTTTGGAATCTTCTCTGTCCTGTGAACTGTGCAATGAAGTCAGTGTGACCCATAACCCCCTGTTCCCCYGGGATAATTAACGAGCCATAAAAATATTATCCATGTAGCTTTCTTCTGAATTTTCCAGCTGATGGTTTCTGTACTGCCACAAATGGATGTTTTGACAGGTTTTTTGGGATAAAACCTGCTCCACGCTGTCCATGGAATTTTATCACATATAGATCAGTTCCTTGTCCTCATTTTGGAGTTTGATGTAGGAGAATCCCTGGATTTGATCAGGAGGAGTTGCTGAGGAACTGTGTTATTTTCACTACATTTGCTCACTCACCGTCTCCTTAAAGAAAAATTGAAAAATTCCTGCCATGGGATGATCCTGTTGTTGCCAAATCGTAAACTGTAAGAGGACAGCTGGAAAAAGTAGGGAACAGAATGAATTTTTTATATATATAAATATATATATAAAATTTTTAATTTTTAAACCTTGACTTGGAATCTTCTGGCTTTTTCCATGAAAAAAAACAAACAACTTGTGGCCAGCCCTGCTCTCCTCAGGGGCTGGAGGAGCTGTTTGATTCCCTCTTGCTTCAATTCCAACAGGAAAATTCATTGTGGAGTTGGAAGGAAACTTGGCAGAACAGCCAAGAAGGGAAGAATCCCAAGTTTTCCTGCAAAGCTGGTTTTGTTTTGAGTGGAATGTGGGTGTTTCTCCTTTTTCCCTGCATGTTGGGCGGGCTCTGGGGCTGGTTGGGGTTCTCTCTGCTGATCCCCCTTCCCAAGAGCCAATTCCAGAGCTGTGATTCCTGAATACCCAGCATYCCACAACATCCTGAGCCCTTCCCCTTCAGCTCTTAAATTCCCATTTCCCTGAGCCTTTGCAGGTTCCATGGCTGTAACCCCCTCCCCAAATTTTCCAGCTCCTGGGAGTAGGAAACCAGCAGGAGCAGCCAAATCTGCTGGGAAGGAGGATGAGGAGGGGCTGATGGCACCAGGGGCTGCTGCATGAGGGATGGGRGGACAGGGCCAGGCTGGGCCCTTTTTCCATTTGGGAACTCCAGTGTTTGTCCTGGGGGCTGCATTTTATCCTGCACTCCCTGTTGGGACAGGAGTGAATCCCTCAGCCCGGCAGATTGTGAACAGCAGAGATTTTCCAACAAGAAATTCTCCCTTTTTTTTAAGCTTTGTCTCATTTCTGCCTCTTTTTGTCCCCATCTTGGAGAAATGTCCCCAAATCCCCCAGTTTGGCCCCCAAACCCTCATCCCCCTGTTCCCCCCATCAGCCCCATCCTCCCATTTTGTCCCCAAAGCCCGTCCCCCATTCCCCCCTGGGTTCCTGGTCACTCAGGGCCACGTCAGGGCCTCGTGCTCGGGCAGTGATTCTGTGCTGGAGCCCCGGGGTGACTCAGCCCCGCTGTCCCTGTCCCCAGTTCGGGTCACACGGGGGGTGACCCCTCTCTGGGGGACCCCTGGACAGGGGTGACAGGGCTGCACCCCCATTTAGTGCTGCTCCGTCCCCCCAGCCCTGTCTGATCCTGCCATGGCTCATCCTTGTTCCTGTGGAGGGGAATGACAATGTGACAATGACAATGACAATGACGATGTCGATGTCCCCAGTGTRTCACGTCGGGGACAGGGGACCGGTGCCACCGGGAATTTCTGCCTTGTCCCGGCAGGAGCCACGTGTCCTGGTTTGGAATGGTGACCAAAAGCCAGGCACCCACAACACCGTTCATTCGCTCTCCCCCACCACCACTACTCTACTTCTCTTCTAGAGAAGAGTGAAGGGGAAAAAAAACTAACAAAAGGGTTCATGAGTTGAGATAAGGAGCAGGGAGGAGACACTTGATGGACAAAACAAGCACCACTTAAATGATGACGTGGATTTATTACGAACAAAGTCAGAGAAGGAGAATGACAAATAAAACTCTCAAAGACACCGATCTTGCCCCCGCTCCCTCCCACCAACAATTCAAAGTAGCGGGGGGTGAACAGGGTGTGAAGGTTGTTGAGTTCAGGTGTTGGGGTTGTTCAGTTCAAGGTGTGAAGGTTGTTGAGTTCATCACCGGATCACTGCGGCTGCTGAGGGAGAAGAGTCCTTCCCAGGCGCCATCTTTTTGGCCCCCCCACTTCCAAAAACAATCCCGGGACAGGAGGATGTCCCAGGACAAGAGAACAATCCCGGGACAGGAGGATGTCCCGGGACAGAGAACAATCCCGGGACAGGAGAACAATCCCGGGACAGAGAACAATCCCGGGACAGAGAACAATCCCGGGACAGGAGGATGTCCCGGGACAAGAGAACAATCCCGGGAC